CTAGACCTTTACCTCCACAAGGTGGTGGATTTAGGCATCAAGTACAGGGGGATCCTCTTTTTATGACTATCATAAGTCGGTATCAGCGAAGGCGGCGACCCATCTGAAACAGTTCAATGTCAGAATTAACTGGTGTCAGATGGACACGGAACTATTCTATCACCACTTCACTGGTCTCAGGCCCCCGTCTTGCGCTGTATGTAACTCTACATCTCATACGGCAGACTTATGTCCTTCAGAAGCCTATCCCACCACCTCCACTCCCACCCCTTATACCACTTTCACCCCTCACAGCAAACCAGCGGGTGGTCTACGTGATAAGCTGGATAGGCCCATCTCCTTTCTAGGTAAAGCTCAGGTGTGCAATAATTTCAACGCAGGCTCCTGCAGTTTCAGCGCTTGTAGATTATTGCACATCTGCTCCATTTGCTTCAGGGCACATACCAAGACCATGTGTCCGGCCAGGTTGTCCCCTAACAAATGACTAATCCACATTAATGTCAACAACCTGGTTTTTTACTTAAGGTCACACCCTAGCAGACACCTAGTGGAATATCTGACCACAGGGTTCATACAGGGGTTACCCACGGGTATAGTAGCCATCCCCTCAGGTACACTTGAATGTCCTAATCTCCTGTCAGCACGTCTAGATCCAGTCTCCACAGACACTCTCCTTTCCTCTGAAATTACCAATGGTAGGGCCTTTTACCTCCTCACCTTTTTCCTCCTGGCGTACTAACCCAATCGGCGTCAAGGTTCACAAATATTCAAATAAAAAAAGTCTAATTATCGATTTATCGGCACCGCACTCCTCTTTTGTTCCCAGCATAAACGCACTCATTCCAGCAGACGAATTCTCACAGTACGTAACTATTGGTGACGCTATACAGGCCATCGTGTCTTCTGGTAATCGCCCCTGGCTCAGCAAAACAGACATCACAAACGCATTTAAGTTACTACCCATGCACCCCTCACTCTGGCACTTGCACTGTGTTAAATGGCGAGGAAAGTACTACTGCTCCACAAGACTCACTTTCGGTTCTCAAAGCAGCCCCGAACTTTTCGATATCTTCGCTGAGACACTATGCTGGCTGCTTCTGAACATCCTCAGGTGTCACTCTGTTATTCACTACCTAGACGACTTCCTACTGATAGAGCCAGGGGCACAAACACCCACCGCTATCAGCCACACTACAGCACTTTTTTCCACACTTGGAGTACCTTTGTCCCAATCTAAAACAATTGGTCCCACTACTAAATTAACCTTTTTGGGGATAGAGCTAGATTCCGTTACCCTCAGAGCTAGCCTTCCCCATGACAAACTGACCCGCTTGAGAGGGGAGATAGACATGTTCCTGCGAACTGAAGGTTTCAGCTCCTCTCACAATCACAAGGCTACCTATAGATGGGCCTATTTTCAGATCACTTAGCAATCTCCTTGACGAAGCCCCGTTTGATCCCGACACAAACCTGGTGATCAAAGCGGCTATCTATCTTGCGTTCTACGGTTTTCTCAGACCTAGAGAGTTCACCGTTGTTCGTCAAGGGGATATCACGCACAGCCTAAAAACATTGCACCTCACAAAGGTGGAGGATCACTATCTACTTTCGATCCCGTCAACTAAAACCAACCATTCACTACACCCCACTGTAATTCCTCTCTTCCCTACTGATAATGGCTGGTGTCTGGTCAAGGCGCCAGACCACCTATGGTCAACCCTTCTCGCACACTTACCAGACTCTCCGCTCTTATCAATACAAGGGCACCCGCTTACCACTGCTAAATTCACATCTCACGTCAGAACACTATTATCTAAATGGGGTTTCAATCGGACTTCATTCTCCGGGCACTCATTTCGCATAGGAGCCGCCTCTTCAGCCTCCAGCACTAATACTCCGGTCCACATTATCAAGAGACTGGGGCGATGGAAATCCTCCATATACCATACTTATATTCCACGACCAGAGAAAGAGCTTCGTCAAGCTTTCAGGAACTTGGTTATGTAAAGGCAATAAAGTGTGTATTTTCTCGAACTTCTCTTTTGCCCTCTTTTATTTACAGGCCCACTCGTACGTTGGTTTCGGCACACCACAACCAACTTTGTCCTTACAGATACTATCCATTACGTATTAAATTCCGAGCACAAATATATATATATATATATATATATATATGACAGCATCAACCTTTACATGTGAATTGGATGGATCTTTACATGATGAAGTCCATAAAATGAAGATTTAAGTCCATGTGCTTCTAATAAAACTGATATTTGTTTAATATCTAGAGCATTGTCCTTTGGCATCAAAGTAGAAAACAGTACAAAGTGTATATTTCAGAATGTTTCCAAGTTACAAGAGGAGTCCCATGAGTGAGCATGAGAGGGATTTAAAACCAGAAACTGTTATCCATCATGATGCACATAACATATAAATATCACAGCATTAGCCTAGGCAAATTCCAGTCCATTTGAATAGGAAGGATCTTTACATGATGAAGTCCATTTAATGAAGAATTTTGCAGTGCGAGGCTTGTGTCCATGTGTCACTGATAACACTGATCTTTATTTTATATTTATAACTCGAGAATCCACATCCTTTAATGACTGTATGTGAGACAATATATCTATGTACATGTCAATTTTTCAGACTTCCAGACAAATCCAGATAAAGGTAAGGATAAAAACACAATTGGAAAATATGTCCACACAATTATACTATAAACAAATATTAACAATATCTCACAAGTTTATACATAATATTACAACCGATAAATATTAATGTCTATTGTGTGAAATTATTTGCATATAGGCAAGATGTTTTTAGCTTACTTTTTAGTGGACAAATGACTGACAATTTCATGACAAATTAAAGAATGATCAGGTTTGGCTAGGACTGCATGGACAGAAGCATAAGTGATGAGACTGCAGGGGCATGATCTCTACACTAAACATGATTCATTAAGCTAATGTTGGTTTGACCCCTTTAAAGTTTTAGAAAATTATACTAAAATCCAGTTCAGCCATAGCCAGAGAAAACATTGCAAATGCAGAGGACAAATGTATCTTTTTCTCTATATGCTTTCTCTGTGCTGTATACTGTGCCAGATGCAAAGGCAAACGGACCAATTTTAGAACGATTGACAGAAAACTATTTTATTTTTCACACCTAACAAATATATGTTTGATAAATATAGGGATAGGTATCGATAATATGAAATATAGTATGGAAGGTGAAATATCCCCTGTAATTGACAAAGCCATGATTTTATAGAAAAAATGGTAGCCAAATTTACATTTTCAGCTGGAAGGTTTTCAATGTACAAAGTAAACTAATTTATTAAATCAGAAACACCAAGGCTCATGTCCATAATAAGTGGACTTTATCTCCTTTAAAATTTGAAAGAGCAACAAAACCTGGACATTTACAATATTCAATGGTGTGTTCAATGATTAAAGTTGTTTTGAATATTTTTTATTTGTGAAAATAGATGTTTTATATGATAAGTACATGTTATGCTGTTATTTTTGCTCTCTGTTGTATGGTATTTTCAAAGTTTAAGCCAATATAAACAAGTTGTAAAATGACTTGTAGGAGAGGTTTTGGGTTATGGCTGTTTATTCACATTTTCCATAACCTTGTTTGGTGATCAAACTCTTAACTTTTGTTGAAGTTGTATTTTAAAAAATCACTCTCTCTATTTAACACTTGAGTTTCAAATTTCTACCTACCAGGTATGGCGGTATTAACCAAAATCAAATTTAATGTAAAGTATTTTATATAAATCAAGCTTTAGAGTATTATGTTGAAAAATAATCATATATTTGAAAGCAATGTCTATGAGTCTGATAATTTTAAATGTGTTTACATGTGTATAATTAAACAAGCATAAAAATCTGTATCTGTCATACTGTATCTTTATAAGCCTTAGAACCAGGAATGCCTGGTCTGAATCCTGGTCAGACCACCTCACTAATACGTGTTCCTGGGCAAAACAGCTGAAGATATATATCCACCTATCTCAAATCCTCATGATTGTAGGCTCCTTTGAGCATGGCTTTCTTCACATCTAAATATCCTATTTCTATAATTGTAAAGCACTATGGAATATGATGGCATTATAAATTCTCATAATTTTGCTAACCTCCATTTGCAGCTTAGTGCATAAACCACGGTGCCTAGAGTCAAACTTCTGTATTTTGGGTCAAACACCATCAGGGTTATTCTCTAAAGCATACATTCTCAGTAAATCAGCAGGTTGTAAAAAGTTATTTTTGTTTAACATTTGCAATACTTTTGTGAAGACCATAAGTTAGTGACAAAGCCTACATGGGAAGGTGGCCTGCATGTGGCTCCATTTCGTAAAAGTTGACTTCAATATGAATTTGCAGTATTTACCATTTGGATGACCCACTTATATGAGTTGTTATTTTATGATATCCTGCAGATATAGGGAAATGTATTTCACTGGTCTCTGCAGGCAGCTTATTTGGATTATGTTCTCATACATTTTAATAATTAATTTCTCACATACTTATCTTTCAGGTCCAGTGGAATTACCAACATACATTTCAATCACTTCAAGAACAGATAGTCGCAGTTTAAAAAAATTCTATGAAAATAATATTTACAAAATAATTACAACTGCACATATAAATATATGGTATACTTTTATAATGTGTTATTTTTATATAATTTATGCATTATTTATTAATAATAACAGAAGCCTAGATTAAAGTAGAAAGATTTGAGACCTTGTGAAGTTGTATCAGGAGAAGGCACTGAAGAATCATACTGCCTTTTAGTAGATAGATGTTATATTACATAGAAAAGATTTTAAAGAAAGATGAAATCGGAAATTAAACACAATGTAACAATATTCACCATTCAATGCTTCAGTGAAAACAAAGTGCTCCAATTCCCAATCTTCTTAATATTTCTATTCATCTACAGCATTATTATTGGTGGCAATGGAACCATTTTTTGTCTAATTCTGAGAGATTCTAATCTTCACACTCCTATGTACATATTTTTGATGATGCTTTCACTCATTGACATCTCCAGTACATCAAATATTATGATTAAAATGCTATATATGCTTCATACACAGCATAAAACCATTTCATTCCTGGCATGTATAACTCAAATGTATATATACTCATCCCTGACATGTACAGACTTCTTCTTGCTTGGTGCCATGGCCTATGATCGGTATGTGGCAATTTGTCAGCCTCTTCATTATTTTATTCTGATGAGTAGGACACACTGTTGTCTGTTCATTATTACGACTTGGATTCTTGGTTTTCTTATGCCTCTGGGTCATATACATTTTATATCTAAGTTTTATTATTGTACTTCTCATATTATTGACCATTTCTTCTGTGATGTTACACCAATAATGAAACTCTCCTGCAGTGACTCATACGTTGTAGAATTATTAACTTATATTGAAGGGACATTACTATTATTTCCAGATTTCTTGCTTATTTTAACCTCCTATATATTAATTATCTCCAACATTGTGAAAATAAAATCCACAGAAGGACAACGTAAAGCTTTTTCTACCTGTACCTCCCATTTGACATGTGTTGCTATGTTCTACGGGACTGTTTTGTGTTTGTATGTGAGACCCACATCAAACTATTCTCCAAAACAGGACAAGTTTTTTGCTATTCTCAATGTAATTGTGATCCCTATGCTGAATCCTCTAATTTATAGTCTCAAAAATCAAGAAGTTAAAACGTCTTTAAGAAAACTTATAGATCAAATGACACGTTAAATAAAACGTTGAATTTTTATCGATCAAAGTTCATTTTGTCAACTAAAGAGTTTGTAGTGCCTCTATGGTATAACAAGAATATAACTGACTCTTCTATGTAGTAGTAAAACAAATAAAAAAGGAGGCTAAACCCAAAATAGGGGATTGTATCGAAAAAAAGGAAAACGTTAGTGAGCAATTTATAACTCATTCACCTTTCCCACCCTGACAAGAACTAAGCTTTTCCACCCATTCATTCTATAGTCTCAGTGGCTCATGCCATATTAGCTAATACCAGATGAGGTAACAAGTTTCAAAAGACTGAGTCAGGGAGGGCAAAACCACTACAATTAGTGGCATTTGAAAGAAAGGAGGAGCAGAAGCAGCAACATGAAACATTTCATTTTTATTTATTTATTATAATCAAGTGAGTGAACAACGAGATGACCACCACCGTTTAGAATATATGTTAAAAAAGACCTGTCACAAGTGTAGTACACTTGTACAGTAAACTGCAGCCACATATTGTGCATTACTGAGGGAAGACAACCATAGTTTAAAAGCACAAGCAGGGGCACAGTAGCACACTACAAATCAAACAATCCATCTCATATTAGAAATAAAATATGACATGTATCACAAATCAGTAAAACAATCCAGTAGCAGCTAAGTAAGAAAACATAACTTCAACCAAACGTTTCCTGTAGTTGCAGATCAGATGTGCGCAACGGTCAGGAGTAATTCTTGACCATTCCTCTTTACAGAACTGTTTCAGTTCAGCAATATTCCTGGGATGTCTGGTGTGAATCGCTTTCTTGAGGTCATGCCACAGCATCTCAATCGGGTTGAGGTCAGGACTCTGACTGGGCCACTTCAGAAGGCGTATTTTCTTCTGTTTAAGCCATTCTGTTGTTGATTTACTTCTATGCTTTGGGTCATTGTTGCAACACCCATCTTCTGTTGAGCTTCAGCCTTAAGTTCTCCTGCAAAATGTCTTGATAAACTTGGGAATTTATTTTTCCTTCGATGATAGCAATCCATCCAGGCCCTGACGCAGCAAAGCAGCCCCAAACCATGATGCCCCCACCACCATACTTCACAGTTGGGATGAGGTTCTGATGTTGGTGTGCTGTGCCTTTTTTCACGACACATTGTGTTGTGTGTTTCTTCCAAACAACTCATCTTTGGTTTCATCTGTCCACAGAATATTTTGCCAGTACTGCTGTGGAACATCCAGGTGCTCTTGTACAAACTGCAAACATGCAGCAATGTTTTGTTTGGACAGCAGCGGCTTCCTCTGTGGTATCCTCCCATGAAATCCATTCTTGTGTTTTACGTATTGTAGATTCGCTAACAGGGATGTTAGCATTTGCCAGTGAATTTTGTAAGTCTTTAGCTGACACTCTAGGATTCTTCTTCACCTCATTGAGCAGTCTGCGCTGTGCTCTTGCAGTCATCTTTACAGGAAGGCCACTCCTACGGAGAGTAGCAGCAGTGCTGAGCTTTCTCCATTTATAGACAATTTGTCTTACCGTGGACTGATGAACAGCAAGGCTTTTGGAGATACTTTATAACCCTTTCCAGCTTTATGCAAGTCAACAATTCTTAATCGTAGGTCTTCTGAGAGCTCTTTTGTACAAGGCACCATTCACATCAGGCAATGCTTCTCGTGAAAAGCAAACCCAAAACTGGTGTGTGTTTTTTATAGGGCAGGGCAGCTGTAACCAACACCTCCAATCTCATCTCATTGATTGGACTACAGTTGGCTGACATCTCACTTCAATTAGCTCTTGGAGATGTCATTAGTCTAGGGGTTCACATACTTTTTCCACCTGCACTGTGAATGTTTACATGGTGTGCTCAATAAAAACATGGGAACATTTAATTCTTTGTGTGTTATTAGTTTAAGCAGACTGTGGTTGTCTATTGTTGTGATTTAGATGATGATCAGATCACATTCTATGACCAATTTGTGCAGAAATCCATATCATTCCAAAGGGTTCACATACTTTTTCTTGCAACTGTATATTTATTTATTTTTTAATTCACCAGATAATGAGGGGTCTCATTGTTCCTGTCCAACCTTGCTCTGTTGACTACTGGCAGTATATCACCTCACTCTGTGTAAGGGTTGTGGAAGTAGTAAAGGAAACAGTACTAGTGGTAGGTTGTGGCAACTGCACGGATTCAGATACATCATCAGTAGATCGGCTATCTGCCCTAGTACTTACTTGTTCTATTTCTTCTATCAGTAATACAGACTTGAGATGATCCCTCACTCACCCTCTACTCACTTCCTTCTGCTTCAGATGCAGCTGATGTCAACTGTCTGTGGTGGGTGAGGTAATTCTAAAAAGGATACATTGGTCTTGGAGATGGTAGAAAAAATGTGGGAGGAGAGTGCATACTAGTTTCCAGAGAAAATACTTTGCTGCTGCCTATCCTCTCCTTTTCTAATTTTTCTGGCTCATAATACTCATGGGCCAGTACCTCTACAGCGGTGGGGGAAACAGAATTCTCTTCACCACCAACAACAAACATTGGGGACATTGAGGGGTACTCTGCACTAAGTCCTCACTAAATAGTTGCTTTCATTATCCTTGCAAAGTGGACACTGCTGTTTTCTCCTTTAGTTAATTCTTGAGGGGCTCCAAAAAATGATAATGAATGAACTAGCAGTGGTGGAAGGAGTTGCAGTGCCAGTGGAAGGTGCATCACAAGTTGTTGCAGCATGAATAAGATTGTAAAAAAACAATTTTGTGGTAAATTTCATGTAATGCGCATGCTGCTAATCCCACTATACTGTGGCTGAATACTAATAGTGGTGATGGTGGCGGCGGTGGTGGTAGAGGCAGCAGTGGCAGAAGTGGCAACAGTCCTCATGGCCGAGGTGTTCAAACTCTCAAAAGCAATGGCACATCTGCTAATGGTGGGTTGTGAAACAGGACCCTGCTGTTTAAAAATAAAATAATAATAGTAATAGTGATAATAATAATGCTACTTCTGTTCTTCTTCTGTCTTCTTCTATCCAACTTCCACTCGGATTTAACTCTCACTCTGCCTTTTTATGTTTTTTTTTTGTAATTCTTGTTCCCCTTTGACAAACACTCACAAATACTGATACTAAGGGTTCCATACAGATACCAGTTCTTGCCTCTTCAACCACTTTACCAGACTGTACAGGTGCAGGAACACAACCACTCAGTTCTTTCCAAATATGTTATTATATGTTTTCATGTGTCAACACTGAAGAAATTACACTCTGCTACAATGTAAAGTAGTAAGTGTACAGCCTGTATAACAGTGTCAATTTGCTTTCCCCTCAAAATAACTCAACTCACAGACATTTGTGTCTAAACCGTTAACAACAAAAGTGGGTCCGTGGGTTCGGCCAAACGTTGAAAAAAAGTCCGGGTTTGTGATCGAACTTGACCCCGAACTTGACCCCAAACTCGAACCCCATTAAAGTCAATAGGGACCCAAACTTTTGGCCACAAAAAGGCCTCTAAAAAACTCCTGAAAAGGGCTAGAGGGCAGCAAAATGAAGTAAAATGGAGTAAGAGTAGGACAAGTGCCCTGGAAACAAATGTGGATAGGGAAATCACTTAAA